ATAATAAGATATATACAGGCGTGATGGCTGCGGCCTCCGTCAATATATATTTGGCTTGATGGCTACGGCCACAGTCAAGTGAAGAGAACGTGCTGGCTGCGGCCACCGCTCTGTATATTGGCGTGATGGCTGCGGCCTCCGTCAATCTGGCTTGATGGCTGCGGCCACAGTCAGCGAAGGGCGTGCCGGCTTCGGTCGCCGCTCTGATACGGCGTGATGGCTGCGGCCTCCGTCTTAATGGCTGCGGCCACATGTGAAGGGCATGCTGGCTTGAGTCACTGCTCTGAGGCGTGACGGCTGCGGCCTCCGCTTGTTCTGACTTGATGGCTGCGGCCTCAGTCTGCGAAAAGCGTGCTGGCGGTCGCCGCTGCTTTGCTGGGGTATATATATAGAGAGAGAGACCCTATAAACCCTAAACCCTAAACCCTATATATATATATAAACCCTAAACCCTATAAACCCTAAACCCTAAACCCTATATAAACTGCCGGCCAGGTGCTGCGTGCCAATGGGCACGCACAAAGACAAGAAGAAGGAAAAAAAAGAGGAGAAGAAGGAGGAGAAGAAGGTGGAGAAAAAAGAAAAGAAGGCAAAGGAGCCTCGGCCAAAAGAAGTCGTCGACGACGAGGACACCGAAGAGACCGAGGCCGAGGAGAAAAAGGAGGAGAAGAAGAAGCCTCCCTCTCCGCCTTCTTCCTCTGGCTCCTCCGAGGACTCAGAAGAGACGGTGACGGTGTCGGCCGTTGAGAAGCCCTCCGCTGCCGACCCCGCCAAGTCGCCGTGCGAGGAGGAAGCGCATCGGCTGCGGTCGAAAGCGCTCGCTTCGCTGCACCAGCAGCGCCCGGCCGAGCCGAAGAACGAGCCGCCGCGGAAGCCAAGCAGCCTGCCCGAGCCGAAGAACGAGCCGCCGCAGAAGCCAAGCAGCCTGCCCTCAGTTTCGCCGGCGGCAACAGTTGCGAGGCGGAGGCGGACAGACCGCGGGGCAAGAAAAGCCAAGGCTTCGTACCAGTGCCAAAGGTGCCACGGCACCATAGTGCCGAGCGCCCAGGCCTGGCGCGGCCACAGGCGCGGCGCCAGATGCCTTTCCTGGCGGGCGTGGAACGAGGGGACAAGACCGTGGAGCAAGTGCTTGCAAGAGGGAGAGAGGCTGCGCAAGGAGTGGGAAGCTGGGCGCATGGCAGACTCGCCAGAGCCAGAGGATCTGTATGGGTCAGAGGCTGCTTCGGCTGGGGCCAAGCAGCCGGTGCAGCTGCGCAGTGCGCGGCCTTCTCTTCGGC